GGGAGGGGGGGGAGGGAGAAGGGGAGGGAGGAGGAGACAGACTGAGAGGGAAACAGAGGAATTGACCCGAATGAGCACCCAAACTTTCCAGTCATAAACGATAAACTAGTTTGTCTTAAAATAAATATCTTTATAGTAATTTTTTAACATCCTTACCCAAGTATATGTTTATTGATTTTAGAGACAGGAAGACAGGGAGAGAGGGGGAGGGGGAGAGAATGATTAATGTGAGAGAGAAACATCGATTGCTTGCCTCCCCTGTGTGCCCCAGCCAGGGATCAAACCTGGGCATGTGCCCTGACCGGGAGTCAAAACAGCCACCTTTTGGTGTATGGGACGACTCTCCAACCAACTGAACCACCTGGCCAGGGCCATAGTAATTTGTTTTAAAAATCAATTCTTAATAAACAAACCATAGTATAATGGCTGACTAGAGAACAATATATTTGAATGACTAATGCTTGCTGTTTTCCTGTAATAAGCTAGAATCACCCAGCGAGGGCAGTGTACGCTGGGAACAAATGGGGACCTGCTGGGACACACCTAAATACTTTCAGGAGACTAGGATCTGCCTTAGGAAGGTCTCTCTATCGTCTTGCAGAAGCACTGGTAACATCTGGCTGCTTTAAAAAGTTTTAAACTCCACAGGAAATAAAGACTATGCCACTGAGTCACAATAATATTCCTAGCATACATCACAGCATGATGGATTTTTTTCTACCTGCTGGCCTCGTTCCCCTTTTCTGTAGGGTTTGGTGGTTTGGCCAGACAGTTGATTCTCTAAGACACATCTGGCTATGTCGTTAAGTTATTCCTGAATGTTTTGGCTATTGCCAAAGTGGTCTGCTTGTTTTAAAAAAATCCGAGTGCCATCTCGGGAAATATTACTCTTGCAGACTGCTGTTTACAATCCAACTCAGTTACCCAGACAAGGCCATTTTTTGGAATCGCTTAAATCATTTGAGAGAAAACGCAGGGAGGAGTTTCTGTCTTTATTTATCATTAAGGTTAGTCACATTTATTTTCTTCCTTACTTTACAATATGCTATTAAGAATGTCAACATGCACTTAAGTTTAGAGGTTCTTCCAACATATTTCCATTTTCGGGGAAATAGAAAACATCCTCCAAGAGCCTCTCCCTTCAAATTTTGAATAGAAAAAGGGACATAGGTGGGAACCCCAGACATTCCTTTCATTTCCCCTTCTTAATTTTATCCTTGTGCTGATCTTTGACTTTTTGGGTGTTCAAGTGGGTGAGAAAGTGTTTCCAGGATGTGACTCATCTCCAGGTAGCAGATAGAAAATGTTGAAATCCTGTACTTTCAGTCTCACTCTAAATATATAACCCTCTCGTGGGAGACAATGTTATTTCCAAAGTACTTAATAAACAACTACGTTCTGATTTTTCACAAACTTAAAAGCTAGTGGTATTTTTTTAAACACAGCCTATATGCCAGGCGCTCTTGAAACAACTTCCTCATATTACTCATCTCTTCGCCCCAACAACTCTACCAAATGGGTTCTATTTTTACCTTCATTTTAGGGCCGTAGAACTGAGGCACCGAGAGGTTGTGTAAGCTGCCTAAGTAAGTGGCAGAGCTGGGACGGAGGCAGCGGGTAGACCGCCTGCCGGGACGGCCCGTTTCCATTCTCTTTAGCGTGGGCTCGAAGGTGCGATGGTCGGTTTGGGGTCCGAAGCCTCGCAGCATTTCCTCTTCCTTCCTGAGGTGACACAAGAGAATGCCAGGGTTTAAATGGATACAGCTGCACCTTAGAGAGCTCGCTCTGACAAACTGTCAAGGAAAACAAAACAAAAGTTGGGTTTTAGTTCAACCAGTGGCGCTTCTAGTTACCTCATTTCCTTCATTCAAAAATGCAGGGCACGTTCATAAACCACATACGTGTAAAAAGAGAAAATAAAATAAACTTGAGAGAAAACAAAACCTGAGAACCTCCAGGCTCTTCAAGACCTTCAAGTTCAGGCTTCTGGCCACGTCTCCAGTCTTTTTCCTCCTATGAACGGTTGGTAAGCTCCACTGAGCGCCTGGCCGATTTTTTAAAGCACTGTTTCTGTGTTCCTGAGGATCTTTGTACCTGACAGTTCCCTTTTCCTTAGCTGCACATGAGACCGATGCCTATAACCATGTATGTTTTAAATGTTACTTCTTCAAATAGGCTTTCCCTCACTTCCATCCTCAATTAAATATTTTTATTCTAGTCTCTCTTTATTACTGTTCCAATTCTCCTTTGAAATCATTGCACTTTGCGTTATTGTTTCAGTCTGTCTTTATTAATCTCTCAATACCCAGAGCACACATCACAGTATCTGCCACACATTCACCGCCAGGTGGCACCAAAGCACAGCAGGGACCAGGGTGGAGCTGGGTCACAAGACCTTCGAACTCCAGGCTCTTCATGGTTATTCCATTAACCTGGTAATATCACTGACCTGCATTTGAATTTTTGGACCAGCTCCCTCCCAAATATATTAGAGTGGGTTTCATGATATTGTGTTCTGTTCTGATCCTACACTCTAGAAGAAGTTTGATCTATGAGAGAATTAGAAAATAGTTTTGATGAACTGGACTGGACATGTCTTGGTTCTAAAGACCACAACTCAAAAGTCTTAGAAATACAGAATTTATATAAAAATAAATGACTATTCTAATAATTACATTGATACTGAAACCTACTTTGGATGTAATGACAAAGATCCCTACCACCCTGAATTATTCAATAAGAGACAAGATGCTTTGTTGCCCAGCTAGAGTGTAAGAGATTGAAGCTGCCAGAGGAGGTTGGATTAGATGACCCTGGAGAATTTCAGTCTTGAGAATATATGCTTCTGGAATCCAATTGAAATGTTAAAAAATATATCAAAGTTCGTTAAGAATGGTAGTTTTGGAACTATTGGTATTACTCATCAAAGGAATAACAATCCTCCTTCATGGAGATAACATATTCAAAAGTGCTCAGATAATGGGATCAGGCTGACCTGAATTAAAACCCAGTCTGCTACTTTCTACCTGTGTGACCTTAGACAACTATTTTTACCTCTATTTCCTAATTTCTAAATGGAATAGTAGGACTAAATTAGTGAGTTGTCATTAAGCCTCTATCAGGCCCAAACCATTATTTATATTTGGTTTTTAAAAGTCCATTCTTCTGTAAGGTATATAATGATTTAAAACTAACAAACGGTCCATCACCACCACCATGAACAAAACTCAGAATTTCTCTCTTGCCTGATTGTTTCCATGTCACTTTTAAATAGAAAACAATGTAATGTATCCCCTTGTGAGTGTGGCTCAGTTGGTTGAGCACCATCCCATGCGCCTTGAGGTCATGGGTTCGACATCTAGTCAGGGCACATGACGGTTTTGGGCTCCATCCCCAGTAGGGTCATGCAGGAGGCAGCTGATTGATGTTTCTCTCTCATCAATGTTTCTCTCCCTCCCTCTCCCTTGCTCTCTCTCTAAAATCAATACAAACATATTTTTAAAAAATAAATAAATGGCAAATAATGTAGAAAGATTGAAATTGAAGAGATTTTTCTACTTATTACATTTATTTTAAAATTAGAAATAGTTTGGAAGCTATTTCCCCTTGTTCTAGTAGGGGCTGGGCACAAATGCTGTTTTCTTTTGGTTTTCCATCCTCTGGATAATTAGGAAGCAAGAGGATTTAGTGCAAGAGAACATAGAAAAACATTTCTATATCAACAGGGGTGCTAGACAGGCAAAAAAGACCTTTACTTTTATTAGCTTTGGCAGCTTAGTGGAATTAGAAAGATCACCCGTGGCTTATATAGTGAGAAGCAATATCGAGCAGCCAACAGACAAGTGGCAGGGGCTTTGACAATAAATCAGTTTAACACCAGATGCTCCCTATGCTTAAATCCTGAAAATGACTGTGAGCTAATCTAAGATTTAGAGTCGTTTATTTAAATATTTCAACCAATAACTGTATATAAAATTAAAGTGAGAATATTATTAAATATATAGTTTATTTTTTTTTTTTCTAAAATGAACCTGNCAACCAATAACTGTATATAAAATTAAAGTGAGAATATTATTAAATATATATTTTTGTGTTTTTTTTCTAAAATGAACCTACAAATATGGCAGGGCACTGGACTCAGAGGTCATAGAACTAGATAATCATCTTATTTTTATTTTATTTTTTTAAATCATTTTTTATATTCAATTATAGTTCGCATCCATCATTATATTAGTTTCAAGTGTACACCCCAGTGACCAGACACTACATAACTTAATAAGTGATCATCCCAATAAAGCTCACACCCATCCAGCACCAAGCCTAGTCATTAGGAACATTATTGACTCTATTCCCTATGCTGTACCNGATCATCCCAATAAAGCTCACACCCATCCAGCACCAAGCCTAGTCATTAGGAACATTATTGACTCTATTCCCTATGCTGTACCTTACATCCCCATGACTATTCTGTATCAACCAATTTGTACTTCTTAATCCCTTCACCTTTTTCAACCCCCCAACACCCTTCCTATCTGACAATCAACAAGAAGTTCTCCCTATCTATGAGTCTGTTTCTGTTCTGCTTGTTCATTTTGTTTGCAGATTCAGTTGTTGATAGATATGTATTTATTTCCATTTTATTGTTCATATTTTTTATCTTCTTCTTAAAGAAGACCCTCTAATATTTCATATAATACTGGTTTGGTGGTGATGAATTCCTTTAGTTTTTTTCTTGTTTAGAAAGCTCTGTATCTGCCCTTCCATTCTAAATGAAAGCTTTGCAGGATAAGGTAATCTTGGTTGTAGGTCCTTACTTTTCATCACTTTGAATATTTCTTGCTGCTCCCTTCTGGCCTGCAAAGTTTCTCTTGAGAATTCAGCTGACAGTCTTATGGGAGCTGCATTGTAGGTAATTAATTGCTTTTCTCTTGCTGCTTTTAAGAGTCTGTTTGTCTTTAACTATTCACATTTTAATTATACTGTGTCCTGGTGTGGGACTCATTGGGTTCATCTGCACTACCTGGCATTGTATGTCTGTTTCCTTCACCAAGTTAGGGAAGTTTTCTGTCATTATTTTTTCAAATAAGTTTTCAACTTCTTGCTCTCTCTCTTCTCCTTGTGTTACCCCCATGATGCAAATGTTGGTACACTTGAAGTTGTCCCAGAGGCTCCTTACACTATCTTCATCTTTTTGGGAAGGGGGGATTCTTTTTTCTTTTTGCTGTTATGATTGAGTGTTTTTTGCTTCCTTATATTCTAAATTGCTGATTTGATACTCAGTTTCATCTACTCTACTGTTGATTCCTTGCAAATTATTCTTTATTTTCAGTTAGTGTATCCTTCATTTTGCTTGGTGCTTTTATATGCTGTGAGGTCCTCACTAAGTTCCTTGGGCATCCTTATAACCAGTGTTTTGAACTCTTCATCTAGTAGATTGCTTGTCTCCATTTTGTTTAGTTCTTTTTCTGGAGTTTTGTTCTGTTCTTTCGTTTAGGCCATGTTTCTTTGTCTCCCCATTTTGGATGTCTCCCTGTGTTTGTTTCTATGTATTAGGTAGAGCTTATATGTCTCCCAAGCTTGATAGCATGGCCTAATGTAGTAGGTGTCCTGTAGGGTCCAGTGGCACAGCCTCCCTCATAACCCCAGCTGGGCACTTGAGGTATGGGTACAGCCCTGTGTGGGCTGTACCCTTTCCTATTGTAGTTGAGTCTTGATTGCTGTTGGCACATCAATGGGAGGGATTTACCCAGGCAGATCAGCTGCAAGGACTGGCTGTGACCACTGACCACTGACCTCTGCCCACCTTGGAGGATCAGCTGTTAGGGGCCCCCTGCACAGAGCAGGACTTGCTTCAGCAGGGCTCTGGTACCCATTAAGTCTGCCCCTTGAGTGTGTCACTTATGGAGGTGGTTGGGTGGTGGTGCTTTGACCTAGTCTGAAATTGTCCATGGGGTTCACTGGCTCTGGGGCCTTCTGGGAGATGCAGGTCAAGGTCAGCCACCACCTGTGCTTTGCCTGGGGTCACCCTACATGAACTACAAAGTGATCTGCAGGTTGTTGCTACTTGTGCTGGGTTTGGAGGTGCCCAGGAGAGGCCAAGCTGTGAACCACGGCTTGCTGCTCCTAGTGCCAGACCTAGGCCACTTAGTGAAAGGTACAGGGCTTGCTGAGGCCAGATGCTGCTTGTTTGAGAGATTTTAGGAAAATCTGAAGGATGAGCCAAGATAGGCCATTCCTGCAGTAAAGTCACTGGAAACAGCTTGGGTGGGCCCAAAAGTTGGGTGGGGCAGGGTCTCAGAGAATCATCAGGGTGGGGCAAACAGTGTGCCAGGTTGATGGAGTCTCAGATATGGCGCCTGTCTGCTGGTTCTGTAGGGGAGAGCCCATCAAAGGAACGAGGGCCTCTGCCAGCACTTCTGTCTGGGAGAAATCTTCCCTCCAGCTCTTGCCCTGATGCCAAACAATTCACTTCCTCCCCATATATCTCTGGTACCTTTCAAGCTGCTGCCCCAGTGCTGGAGCTCAAAGGGAGTGAATCCCTGTGTGGGCCCTTTAAGAGAAATGGCTTGGGACTCCAGCAACCTCAGCCTCCCTTGGCCTCAATTCCTGCTGATTTTTACAGCCAGCAGTTATAGGGACTGGTACCCTAAGCTAGGGGACTGGTGTGGAACTGGGACCTCTTGTTCCTCAGAGGGGACCTCCACAGCTGAGATATCCCTCCC